GGTAACCAAATTTACCTGTTACAAGAGAGCACAGAATGCGAAAAAGGTTTAAAAATTTGCAGACACTTTAATTACCGGTTATAAAATTTATGTTACCAGCGCAGAATAGACCTGTTATATTTATTTGTTGAACAGGAAAAATTTATTTTGGGAAGTTTGAGTACCTACCGCAATTAAGCAAAATTCCACTTAGGCTTAAATTAAGGCTTGGACTTCTGACTTCAAACCCTGAAAATACCACTCCTGCACCTTGACCCTGCGATCCTTGCTTTACGTTGACTAAACAGAATGTGGATCAATGATACTCACCAGTTTGGAAATTGCCACCAACTAGACTATACAGATTCAAGAACGATTCACTATCGAGCCGCAAGGACTTCTTCCCGGTATAACGCTTTAATCAGGTTATTTAAGACGGTAATGGAGGATATGCCTTCTGTCGACCACAAAACTAAACGTGAACGTGAGTTGCTGGCGAAAACGTTGGACCAAATATTTTAATAAAAAAATTAATTTTGGGCGGGACGAAGTTCGCCGGGTAAGCTAGTTTCTATATAAGACTGCATCATTCAAATCTGAAAATCAGATATTCAAATAAATTAATTTTTTCCACGGCCGAACCACTGTGTGACGCTTTACATACAAAAAAAAGGGGCTTTTCGCGTTCCAGGTGACTTTTGCTGTTTCGCTCTCCCTCTTTTTTTATCTTTTATTTAGTCTGTTCCTTTGAACTTCGGACTAAAACCTGTGGAACTGTCAAACTACAATTTTACTCTCTCAAGTGAGAGTAAAAGGAGAACAGATGCAGAAGTGCACGGGAACGCAAAAAGCACTATTTCCTGTAAAAACATCGGTCCGTTTGTGTACATGTCATTGGTACACCACTGATTTGGCTGAAATATCACTAAATAATTATTAAAATCTATACATATTCAAATATTTCGTTGTTTACTTCCATTTTTTACAAATATAAGGTTCTTTGCTTTCACCGCTTTTTCTGATAATCATTGCTTGCCAAGAGCAATATGCGGTCTCCATTGCCAAAATTTTGCCTGATAACATTAGGTTTGTATAGTAACCAATAGTCAGTACTAATTTGTACTAGAACCTGCAAATTTTTACTGGAAAAGTGTATGATAACCCAAAAAATTTGCAAGAGGACACTGAATCGAGAGCGTAACAACACGGGAGAGTTGCAAATTTTTGGTAGTGAAATTTTTACTAGCAGAAATTAGTTGCGTTTTTTTACTCATTTCCAGTAAAATCCAATTTTCATGTTTTGGCGTTTTCGTACGCAAAAACTTGCAAAGTAGGGGAAATTGAGAGAGCGAAAAATTACAGTTGAAGTTTCAAGTTTTTACTGGATTTTACTGGATCAATTTTTACCTACTTGTAAGAATTTGCCAGTACGAAAAACAGCCGATCGCATGTTGCTGGATGAAATTTAAACTAATAAGGAAACTGTTTGTGGGTTTTTATTGTTGAATTTCACAAAATAAACCTATTTAAATACAAAACATATTGTTTTATTTGGAATTTGCTGCGAATAAACAACCAATTTATCAGCTGTTCATGAAACAGCAAATTATTACTGGAAAAGCGTTCGCGTACTTTATTGCAAATTTTTTTTATGTGGGCGAATTCTTAGAAATAAAGTCACTGGAGAGTTGCTGGCAAGTTACTGGATAATTTGTAAAAAAAAACACAACTATTAGCTAGCAGAAGAAGAAGAAGAATAAATGTCAAAAGCCGCCATTTGTTGAATTGGTTTAGCACAAACAAAAGTAAAATGAGTGGAAATCAAAATATTAATGATGTACTGGACTGTGTAAGTGCTTGTGTGTAAAGAAAACAGTTTATAAATGATTTTTAAATAGTAAAATGTTTACAGCAGAATATCAAAACGGTGCAACAACTATTCACTTGCAAGTTTTTACTAGTTTTGTGTTCAATAACTTTTTCTGCTAGTTTTCTCTTCTCTCAATTTTATGCTCTAATTTGCTTCTACGCTCTCGCTGCAATGTTTTACTGGAGACCTATTAGGTATGTATAGTAACAAATAGTCAGTACCAATTTGTACAAACCTGCAAATTTTTAATGGAAACGTGTGTAATAACCCAAAAAATTTGCAAGAGAGCACTGAATCGAGAGCGCAATAACACGGGAGAGCTGCAAATTCTTTCTAGTGACATTTTTACTAGCAGAAATTAGCTTGAAGAAGAACAACAAGAATGAATGCCAAAAGCTGCCATCTGTTGAATTGGTTATTCGTAAACAAAAGTAAAATGAGTGGAAATCAAAATATTGGTGATATACTGGACTGTGTAAGTGCACGTGTGTAAAGCAAAGAGTTTAAAACTGATTTATAAATAGTGAAATGTTTACATCAGAATGTCAAAACAGTACAGCAACTATTTACTTGCAAGTTTTTACTAGTTTTGTGTTCAATAACTTTTTCTGCTAGTTTTCTCTTCTTCTCAATTTCACACTATATTTTGCTTTTACGCTCTCGCTGCAATTTTTTACTGGAGAAGTTACTATAAACACCTATTGTCAAGATAAAAACTTTTGCCTGTGGAGACAGCAAGTTAGAGCTAAATGCGTTAAATGTGCTTTTACGCGTAAGCGAAAACAGACCATTAGATCGCCGAAACAACAGGTCAGGTAAAACCCGAGTCATTCCGGTACGTAGAACTGGCCGTCGTGGGAATGACAGATTTGCCTTATTGAACGCCCCCTGTGGTTTGTATCTTATAAAAAAACTTGGTTGCACACCTTCAGGCATTTTTTAATTTATCCAACAGTGGAGGCTTAAATAAATGAATTTTTTTTTCTTCATGTGGTTCTTGATTTATGATAAATTATCTAATTTATATTTAATTGTAATATATTACAAGGCGAAATTACTTGATTTCAGCATGATTTGCTTATAAATTACAAATGAGCCTTAAACTACGATGATGTGAACATGCTTATAAGCCTTGTTTTCTTACCCGTTTAAACTATATTCACATTAGGGCACAAATTACTTTGTTTCGATCAAATCACTTCACATAAACCAAGTACGTTCACATTTTCTTTCATAATTTCTATAGCACGTGTACGAACGAGTTTTAAAAAACAAATGGTCGCATATCTTTAGGCATTTTTTTCAAATTTCCTCAACAGTGGGGGCTAAAATAAATGAAAAATCTTTTTTTCATTTGGTTCTTGATTTATGATAAATTTATTGACAGATTTTACAAAGCGAAATTACTTGATTTTAGCATAATTTGCTTATAAATTACAAATGAACCGTAAATTACGGTAATAGCCCTGTTCGCGTACGCACTATCCAGTAAATCCAGTACTAATTGTACTGGTTTTTTACTGAATGTCGTTTTCGTACGCAAAAACTTGCAAGAAACTAGCAAAAGAGGGGAAATTGAGAGAGCAAAAATGACAGCTGAACTTGCAAGTTTTACTGGATAAATTTTTACTAGCAACTATTTGCTAGTAAGAAAAACAGCTGATGGCATGATGCTTATTGTAAATCGCATTAAGAAAATAATTGTTTGTGGTGCTTTTAGAGTTGAAATTGACAAAATAAACCTATTTAATATATAATAAGATGGAAAATACTAGTTGTCTAAGAAAATTGCATCGGAAAATAACAAATTAATCAGCTGTTCATAAAACTAGCAACTTCTTGCTAGTTTTGCGTTTTCGTACTTTCTTGCCTATTTCACTCATTGGGAGTAAATATTGGCTTACTCTCCGAAATTTGGTTACTGGCAAGTTACTGGATATTTTTTGCTGGATAATACGAAAACACAACTAATGTGAATATGCTTTTAGCCCATGATCCAACTACACAAGATCTGACAAGATGAAGCAAAAGAAAGAAGTAATTTTCTGGCTGACGTTTGTAATTTCGGCGCCATGTTATTTTCTGTGAAAAGTAAACAAAGAATATGAAGACGAAGCATAAAGAAAAAATGCTAGCAATGTTGTGCACATGTTTGTGCTAACCAATTTATTATTTTTGTACGTGTTTTTGCATCCAATCACCGCGCACTTCATTTTAATTACATTTGCACAAAAAATCACTGAAATAAACCACCGACAAAATTCACATAAAGAAAGAAGCAAAACAGAAATAGCAAACTTCAAAATTACGAACGTCACACACTTTTTTCTCAATTGCTATTACAAATGGCTGCTTCTCAACCGGTCAGATCTGTTCTAATTGGTTCATGCTTTTAGCCCTTCCTCGAGCAAAAGTTGTAACAAAACTCGTGGCAACCCTGTTGAAAATTTTATTCACCACATGACACGGTTGCACCTTACTTTACTAAATGTTAGTTTGGTAATGCAAATCACATTTGCTGTTTTTCCTAATTATTGAATTATAATACCAAATTAATTATCAACTTGTCAAGATAGTTTAAAAAAAGATTAAAGTTGCCAAGAGAGGGACCTCGAATCGAAGGCCGTTCCAATAGAATACAATTTTCAATGCCAAGTTCGGCCAGAGTTGTACATTTAGTATCATGCAGAACTAAGCGCAATGGTCACACTGCTGTCATTTTCATTTTTATATCGTCGTTGTCTCGTTTTGTGAAAATGAAGCAGTGATTTTAGAGAAAAAGTAAAGAAAACGCTAATATATATTATTTAATTGTGGTATTTATATATTTCGGATTGTTCATATTCCTTAATTATATTATACTCGATGTTTTAATGTTTAAAATGATCGCAGTCGAATGCGAATACAACGTGAAATTTATAGTCAAAGTAGGCCAAACAACAAGACAAGCAGTCAAGCACCCGATCAAAGAAGACAAGTAGAAGTAGAAATTTTTTGCTTTTGGCTCATTGAATTTTCCCCAGCAGCAAGTTGATGCACAGCTAAGTAAAGTATAAAATAAGCAAAGTAAATCAGCGCAAAGTCAAATCAAAAGCAAATTCAAAGTAAAACGAGTCGTCAAGTTTTGTATTGTAATTGTGTCGTGAAGCGAGCCTGAATACTGCGAAGCTTGGTGGAATTTGGAAAGTGGAAGTGCTCGACCATAATGTGTAAAGTGAATTCTAATTAAAAGAAAAGCAAGACGAAAACAAAAATGATTAGACATTGACTTAAAAACAAGTCTATAAAGGAAAAACAATTGCATGCTGGTCAAATACTCACTACCTTCTTTACACATGATTTACTAATATGACATCCCCTTATTTTTTATATTCCTTGCTGACACAGAAAAATATAGTGTGAATCTAAAATTGTGTCTGGAGCGACTCCTGGTTAGGTTGGGGCAAGAGTAAAAGTAAAACGCAAAACAATAATGATTAGTAATAACAATCTCGTTTTTAGCATGTTTATACCTACTTTGGAAGACTCCTTTGTGTTCGTTGAGGCCACAAAATTCTAAATTCGTATGTTTGTACACAGCAGAGCTTTGTAACTGTAAAATCAATTAAAATTTTAATCATCAAATATTTACAAGTAGGATTTCATTCTTTTTCCTTTTGTCTGGTGGTGTGGCTTATATATATTCAATCTACACTGCTGGCAAAAAGTATTGGCACTGCAAATTTTTCACAATATATGCATAAATTTTTTTTCGGTAATTCTCTAGTGTAGGGTAACAACCCCTAAAAAAGGTCCGGAAAAGTCGGGAGGGGTACCAAACGACGCGTTTCGGTCCCCCTATTAACAATCCGGAGGGGGAAGGCTAATATTATTAACCATTTAAAAGTTATGAACAAAAAACGTTTGTTGAATTTCGTTGTTTTCTATGGGCAATTACACCGACAAAGATTCACTAAATAACCTGTTCTAACTTTTTAAACACTATTAAAATATATAATTTAACTTATTTATTAAACAAACACAGTTTTATCAACCTAAGATAGATTATTTTGTTATTAAAAAGAAGTTGGCAATCTTTGCGAACTGAAACGCGAGATTCCAAAATAGCTATAGTGCTGCCACTGTATTAGTATTTCGTAATAATTCACTTTTCCTTATAAGGTGTGTGCACTGTTCAATGCTTTTCGGTATCTTCTTTCGTTTAATATATATATAAATAATGAAAATTTTTCATAAAAAATCGCGCGATTTTTTATTAAAAATTTTCGGCTGCGGCGCTTTTTTCATAAAAATCAATGCTTCGATAAATAATAAAAATTAAAAAAAAAAATCGCGCGATTTTTTATTAAAAATTTTCGCCTGCGGCGCTTTTCCCATAAAAATCAATACTTTGATAAATAATGAAAATTTTTCATAAAAAATCGTTCGATTTTTTATTCAAAATTTTCGCCTGCGGCGCTCTTTCCATAAAAATCAATACGATAAATAATGAAAATTTTTAATAAAAAATCGCACTTTTGGCACTCCATGACGCTTACTTTTAATTACAGCTAAAATAACTAAACCATAAAAGTAGCGCTGCCATGGTATAGCGAAATTTGCTTGTTGTTGTTGTTGTAGCGGCTACAACAACCCCGCCCAGATCGGTTGGTATTTCAGTCGTTGTCGTCAAGTTCCACTAACGGCAACCCTGGGAAGCGTGCAGCTTCTGCAGGGTTTGCCCATAGGGACAAGGCCGTTAGGGATGTCGGGTTTGCCGGGCATGCGAAGAGATGTTTCGAGTCATGTGGGGTCTCTCCGCATGCCGGACATTCGTTCGGCACATCCTCATTCAGCCTACTCAAGTAGGAGTTTAACCTGCTGCAGTAGCCGGAGCGAAGTTGTAGCGACAGCCGGTTCTACGTACCGGAATGACTCGGGTTTCACCCGACCAAGGGCTGTGGGAAATGTTTAGTACCACTCACACCGTTTTTTGGGTGGGGGGCGGAGGGGGAGGGGGCGGGGCCCCCAAAACACCCCCCAATAGAAAGGAGACAGTAGCCGCTTTCTAAAAAGGGGAACCCCTCCCTTGGACTCCTCCCACAGGCACCTAGGGAACCGTTTGAAAAAGGGGGAAAAACGGATTTTTCTTAGGCAAACTGAGCAGTTTGAAGTGGAATATGACCCAACTAACAGAAACCGTGGGATTTTTTAATAAAAGAAATTATGCCAAATTAGATATGGGGGGATTTTGAATAAAGAATAAAAAGTTAATTAAAAATAGAAAAAAAAAGTTTTTATAAAAAAAAATGTTCTTTTTAACAAATCTGTGTTCGTATGGAAAAGTAGCTTATGTCGAAGGGCCGGCTTTAGTATAATGCGGCATTCCCTTTATTTTTTAAACGACAAGGAAATTTTTGATGAGACTTAAAAAGAATATTGACTTGCTAGTATCGGAACTATTTCTTGTACGTTTATTTGCTAAAAGTTGTTTAACGGCTTAGCGCCCGTGAGTCATTCGCAATCGTATGCTGCGAATGCCGATTTATACTAAAGCCAGCCTTTCGACATAAGCTACTTTTCCATACGAACACAGAAATGTATTTTTGCGTAGAATTCCTTTCTACGTAAGCGGCCTTCGGCCGCACTTAGGGATTATAACCCTCAGGCAGTAGAATTCTCCTTTCTGTGTTGCCAAAGAAGGGGGGCTGAACACCTTTTGCAGAGAACACCTTTCTGCGTAGGCGGCCTTCGGCCGCACTTAGGGATTATAACCCTCA